TTAAATTGTCCATTCACCGCTGCACCCGCGCGGATCGGAACATTTCTTCGTACGTATTGCGAGCGATAAACGCAAACGCGGTTATATACTCCGGAAACGATAGAAACTTAGCGAGAAGATAGCTTCCCTTCGCCGATCAATTCCTCGTGCAGCAAAGATTCGGCGACTGCCGGTCCTTATGGCGAGCATTCTAAACGGTAATGTAACGCGATAAAGCGAGAAGCGCGTTACCTTCCATTTCTCGCTTGACTCGTATCGCATCGTTTCGGTTCCGTCTAAAAATTCTATTCGCGTAATCTGTCGTACGCGAGAATCCGTGCAATCGTTCGAACAAAGTTGTGCAACTCCAGCGGCTAACGAGACACGCGAATCAATTGAAACGATGATAGCTGAACGACGAAGCGAATAACTTATAGGGAATAGGGAGAAATTTCATTGGGACGGGACGGTGAAACACGTTTGAGCGAAAAATTTCGATAGGAAACAAGGAAAACCGACTCTCTCGGAGGCTCCGGATCTGTTCTTCTAGTAGACAAAGAGAAGAGAACGATCGAGTCGAGCGAAAGAATCGGAAAAAGGAGCAAGGAGAAAGCCGAGTGCGTGACACGGAATACGCGTTGGGTGGCCGAAAAAGGAAAGAGACTTTTCGAATGAGTTTCCACCGTTGGTGGTAGCGGGTACGGGTCGAGTGGCGGCACGACACTGCTTATTGATCTCACTACCAATGCTACGTAGCGTATATGTAACCCGGTGCGCACGGTACGCGCACGGAACACCACCGCACAACGATACGTAGTGCATCCACTGTATCACTGTCGACCCTCTCTAATCTATCTTTCAACGTTCGTCGTTGATCGTTACTACGAATCGTTAATCGCGAATCGTTAATCGTTGGTCGTCGGTCGCCTACCGTTTAACGTCTGTCGTCCGTCTATCGCCCCGTCGTCGTCGTCGTCGTCGTCGTCGTCGTCGTCGTTCGCGAGCATCGGCCACTTTGGCACTAGCACCGGCACCTTTTGCTCCGTTCCACCGCGATCCCGATCGTACCGATGTCAACCGACGACACCACTGTCGTCGCCACGATCATCAAAGTTTCGTCGTTCCCGTTTCATCAGCCATGTTTCTCTCGGGAATTAGGTTGTTTCTTTAAACTATGCGATTCTCGATGTCTCGATGTTCCGATGCACCGTATCCGAGGGGGCTACCGATACTCGATAAAAGAAGCAACCCTTTCCGCTCGCCGTTGTCGAGTCGAGACGAGCGTGTCGCGATACATGCTCCTTTCCGTGGTTTCTAATAGCAAAGCACGCGGTTACGAGATTTCCCGAGCGATCGAACAGCGCGAACCGTCTTGTTTCGACACTTTTCTCAACGCACTCCGCGACACATTGCAACGTAAATCCTTCGTTCAGCGAAAATCCACAAAAATCTCTACATACCCCGTTTTTCTTATTCTTTTCCACCCTACTCGATACCAACGAACCTCCCTCTCTCCTGTCCGTCCTCTCTAGTATTCGATCTTATAGAAAATATTTTGTT